AGTGTGTGTCACAGAGCAGCCGCTGGTTGCTTGTCTGCTTTGATTTGAATGACGACCAGATTCATACTTATGGCCGTTCCGCTTGAACTCCCCATGTGGCAGATAGGTTGTGACACTCCATGATGTAAGGTAGCATTTAATCTAAAGACAACAAGATATGCAGATTACTGTGTCAAAGAGATATTTTCTGTGTCACTGGAGATTGTTCCTCTCCCGTAGTGTACCCAGAAAGATCCCGCAGCAGTACTGCTACTGTACTACAGCAAGGTTAACTAACTAAACTGTATGTTAATACTGTGATGGTCAAAACTGATCACTATAAGGGATAAAGATAAGTGACATAATTTTAATCTCAATCTGAGGTGCTTCTCTGAGGCCTAAATTTCATTATTCAGCCATGAATATCTTGGCTTAATGCAGCCAGAGGTAACACACATCTAACTTAAAGTGCTTAATGCATCCTCTGGGTAATTCTCAGCCCTGCCAAATGTAATTCCTGATTTTAAGGCTCCACATAAATCACAGGAAGGTCCGTGCCAATGCAGTCATTGTATTAAATTGTGCAAATGCTTATATTTGATATGCCGGCCGTGTAGATTCCAAGTCATCCAGGACATGACAAACACAAGTGCTTTAATAGAAAACATCTGACTACTCCCTCTGTTTTATGAACCTCTCATCCATTCAATTTAGGCTACATCCTCAACTGAAACAGTTTCTGCACAGAAACGTTTGAGAGTAAAGACGAAAGTGAACAAATGCCGTGCCATTAAGGGGCACTGCAACACTGCCACGGTGATGCTGCCACAGAAGGTAGGAGAAGGAAAAAGAGCAGGGTAAAACAACAAATCGTAGCATAAGAAAAGAGGTCGTCATAGTAAAGCAAAACAGGCTGGCTTAAAATCCACAATAAATGAAATACTTTCTGGAACAAACACAACTCCATAGTCTGACTTTTTGTTGTGGTTAGTTTCGCTCATGTGGGTTCACAGAGAAAGGCCTATATTAGTCAGACGCACATAATCTGCTAGTTTGTAGCTGGTTAGGCGAGTCCAGGAGGAGCCACCATGGGGAATGGCTTCTGTCTTTCCCACTTTGGGAGCAGGTTTCAAATCTGTCGGAAATCAGTGTAATATCGGCCAAAACATGAATATAGGAATATGTCGGCCTTTATCCAAACTCCACGATGAAAATAAGCTGATAGAAAGACTCCAATTCTGTTTAAAGTTTATGTAAAATCTTGGATAATAATACCTGGTTCAGTTACTCTCATTACAATTGTTTTTGACTATTTTATCTTATTTGAGTTATATTAATTAATCAAACCTTTTCTAACATTCCAGACTACAAAATAAGTAATAATTGTATTTATAAATCATGATGATAGCGTATCAGTTCAATATCAGAATTACAGTACCTCTGTCTTTTACAATTGGGTGAAATTATGAGACAAAATATGCAGAATTTATAAGCAGTCTGAAAATGCATTAATTATTTTCTATATTATGATTGTTATAGATGGTATGTTATGTTCTTTAATAGCTTTCTCAAGCATCTTGCACTTTCAGATTGTAATAATTGGGTTACCTCAGAATAACAATTGGTTTGACTGGTGATACCCAGTTCATTTGTAGCCGCAGCATATGGCAGCAAAGGAAACTGTCGCCTAACCTGCCAAGCACCGAACACAAGATAGAAACTCTGAGTTAATATTTATTGAACACAGTTTAGCATTTAGTTACTGAAAAGCCAATGATCCCCCTCAGGAGTTGCCTGTTTTTTCATAAACAAAACAGAGTGTTGAAACTCAGTTTTGTTGGATGAGTTCAGACGCCTCATGGATGCCAGCACCAGTGCATGTTTGATGTACAACCAAGAAGCTGTTTGCCAACATGTTCTCAAATCAACTTTACAAGGTGATTAGCAATCACTGTCGGGCTTTCAGCTATAGTTTCTCCCCAATTTACTGCCAGAATATTTCCTTACTCAATAAGAAACATGAAAAAAGTCCTGAAATCAAAAGAAGACAAATGCAGATACAACTGGATATAAACTATGTGTCAACCAGTGGAAAGTCAAGACTGAATTAGCCTCCAAAGGAGAAAAACCTCAAGTTCAAGTGAGCTGAGTTCATGGCACTATCAGTCTATTGGAGACATATCTGTTTCTGCCTCAAAGGAGCACATAGCCTTAACTGGCTGCAGCTCATAACAGCTGCTAGAAATTGAGAAACTAGAGCATTTCTAGTTATGGATGAGAAAAAGAATAGCCTTTCACACCAAAAGCAAATACTGGAGTCAGTAGGGAGCTGCACATCGATGCAGGAGCTGCAGAACTAAAACCTTAGGAGTGATAGAAGCTGTTTATTCCTCTAATCACGGTGCTTTAGGCCTGGCTGGCTTCAAAACCTACTGATGTAAAGCTGATGAAAATGTTGATTGTCTCACAGATGATAGAAGAAAATGCTGCTTTAAAAAGGTACTTTACTCTGTATAGATTTTATGTTTGCACTTCACATTCAAAGGTTTTAGCAAAGTAGTAGTCAAATATAACAAGATAACATCTTAAAAGTGCTTCTTCTCCAGTAAAAGAAATAAAAAACAGATCAGCTAAATGACCTCTACAAGATCTGGATACTTTGTTTTATCTTTCTTTAATATATTCAAAAAGACCCTTACAAATTTATTCTGTTTGGTCTTTATTTCCTACATATAAATGCTCAAACTGGCAAAAAAACGTAGACTAGGAAAAGATAACTAAGTTTAATAGATGACTCATTTTATTGAAGGAGAATTTAAGCAAACTAAGCTGGCATGTGGAAAAGAAAACCAAAGTCATAGAGATACACCATCCTTCAAATGTCACAAATCTATCCCTTTAACTTTGGGGACAAAGTGAAGCTCAGTAAGAGTCTTTAGTTACAAATGGAGAAAATGATGGAGCAGATGTGAATCTTAAAGGGAGACCATCCTGTCAAAATTAATCCAAGAGCTCTTCAGCCTCATCCAGGCTGTTATAAAAGATCCCAGGAGAACATCTAAAGCACTGGGGAAAGAACGGCCTTTTAGTGAGCATTACAGGGCAACAGCTACTGCTGACTGAGAAGCAGTTTGGATCAAAATTAAACTGAGGTCATGCTGTCTTTGCTCTAAAACCTTTCCTTGCATCTTAAATCAAACAGTTTATAATTAAGAATGTGTCAAGGTATTTTAATAGACTCAGTTCTTGTTGTTGCTAACACTTAACGGTCTTTGATGGTATCAGTGGTGGAAAAACGTGTTATTAGAGAGCAATTATTTGTTCAAACAATGGCAGTTGGGTTTGGTTAGTTTTATTTTTCAAGAGGACATTGGGGGCTTTTTCTCTAAACTATTCTTGGATTTCTTTTGAGCTGGGTACTCAGTGGTCTATGTTTTAATTCGGCCTAACTCGTGTTGAAGTTTTAGGCCACACGAAGTCAAACCCTGGCCTAAACGCACACATTTTTCACCAAACCAGCCTCTCATCCATACGAAGCCGGCGTTTCGGGGGTCTGTAAACGATCTTTTTTTTATTAAGCCTTCAGAGTGGGAAGATTTTGAAACGCCGTTTTCGCGTTTCCATCTTTAAGCTCTAACCGCATTTTTTTTTTACGCACATGCGTCATAGCGTCGCCTCTAAACACGCATGCGCAACACAGTATCACAACAAAAATGGCGCCGTACTGTGTTGAATGGTTGCTGCTCATGCTACTCACCCTGCTGTCGGGCTTACAACAGAATCTTCTTCTTCTGGAATATCTCCAGGAAGAACAGAGCAATATAGACGACATAGTTCATTACCTCAATTTGACTGAACCACGAAAATGGACCTGCAGGGCCATTTTCCGGTTTGGTTGTTGTTTAAATATTACTGCGCATGCCCAACATTTCGTTGCCTGTTTTCGCCTATTTTTGCTTTGGCACCACAGCACCACTTACAGGCCTGGCATACATTTTGCAGCGTTTTCATGTATTCGTGTGGTCGATTACATTTATTTTACGTCTCCGTCTTTACGACAAACGTTCTGGAAAATATTAGCGTTTCGTGTTCGTTTTGACTTCGTGTGTACGGGGCCTTACTCTCTTTATTTTTTTATTTTAACGGCAATCCCCCCCTTTAACGACCGACCCTTAGAATCATAGACAGGTTCAGATATTACAGGCTAGCGATGGAACTAAACGACCCATTCATCGGTTACCATTTGCATGTTTCCAAGCAATACAAGGCTTTGTCTATATAAGACTCAAACTCACTGTGGATCCAGACATTTGAATTGAGAAAGCTTCCTGGAGAGGTGGCAAAACATCTTCAAATCTTGAAAACCAAGTCCAGTGGATATTTTTTTGAATTTTTATGGAATTTATTTTAAAGATTTCACACTAATTGGGCCTAGGTGAAATGAAACCAACTGTAAGGGATGCAAATACTTTTTCACAGTTTTTTTTTTACCTAATACCTTGATGTATCAGGCCACCTTTCACTGAAAGTCCAAAACAGATCTGATCTTTGCAGTTCCATCCATCCATCCATCTTCCACCACGCATATTCCAAGCAGGGTCACGAGGTGTGCTGGTGCCTACCTCAAGCTGTCTACAGGCGAGAGGCGGGGTACACCCTGGACAGACAACCATTCATGCACACACTAACACTTAAGTAGAATTTAAAGAAGCAGCTAACAGCTATGTTTTTTTTTTTGTTTTTTTTTTGGACTGTGGGAGGAAGCCAGAGTACTCAGAGAGAACCCACGCATGCTCAGCAAGAACATGCAAATTCCATGCAGGAAGACCCTGGGCTGGGAATTGAACCTGAAACCTTCTTGCTGCCCACTGCGCCACTGAGCAGCCCTTTCTTACAGTTTTTATTTCATTAAACAAAGGATTCAGTTTGACGTAAATTTGAAGAATTTTTATTTAATTAAGGTTGAATGCACCTCCCATCATATGGCTTATATTATCATTGCTTGTTCTTGTTTTATGCAGGTATGAAGCAGCACAACGATCAAGGCACTCAGTATCGTTCGGCCATCTACACATCCACTGCTGCTCAACGGGAGGCTGCATTGAAGAGCAAAGAGGCCTTCCAGAAGGTGACCACACACAAACACAAGCACACCACCCAATGATTGTATGGGGGCCGCACATACGTTTTGCTCCATCTGGTGGAGTACTAGATGGTCACAATCTATGAATGGGACTCACTGGGGTAAGAGGACTGTAGGTACACTGCAACTATATTGGTAAACCCACTTAGGCATCCTAGCTGGGTGTCCAGTGGATATTAGAGAATCTGCTTAAATTAGACGATACATAAAGGACCCGTATCGTACCCTACTTTTCATTCAAAGTTGTCCTTAACCAAACCTTTCAATGGAATTAATATGGGGCCATAGATCGATGCACAGTCTCTTCTTGGGCCCCTATTTCAGTTCGTTTTCTTTACGTGATGTCCCAATGTGTAAAGGTCGGGTTTTATATGGGTATTATTTATTCATGCATGCTTTTTTATCAATGTTTACCATTTAGCTCATTTAAACTAAACACAGATCAGAACCAAAATAAATGGAAATAAAGTCTAATAAAAACAAACAGATTCAATTATATATGATGCTTGAGCATTGTATTCAAGTTTATCCTCTAAATTGATTGTCATACTTACCTTCTAGTAGAATAAACTCAAACGGATTAGTTAATTACATAGTTTGAAGCTGTTTTGTTAAGAGAAACCAAACAGAGCTATGTATGTTCAAAATGGCAAGGTGTGGATAAGAAATGGAAATTTGCATCAGGGAACAGGTGAAATAAAACAAACATGGTGGACACTTTAATAAAAAATCTGAATAATGTCTAATTATGTCTGTACTTTCTTTAACTAAGCTACATTTTGCTAGATGAAAGCGACGGGTCATGTAGTTGAGTCTTTAGTCATTTTCTGTTTTGTTTTTTTACTATTGAAAGAAGGAGCTCTATTTGGACCAAACTCATCTCCATCTCTATAAGGGGAGGAGGGTCAGTAGGTCATTCTAACTGATTTCCTTTCAGCAGCACACGCGTCCCCCTTTTGTTCTTTCTGTCCATCTGTCTATCCCTCCATCCATCATTTAAAATTGATCCCTGCATCTTTTTGGCTCAATCACCTCCTCAGTCCTAAATGCCTTTCATGGAGTAGCTGACGGGGGGCAGAGGGGAGCAAATTATCATCTTCCTGGTTATGTTGGGGGCTCTGGGTCAGCAGTCAAGGACCAGAAGGCTGTTACGTTGTCCTGGCAACAACCTCCCAACCTTGGCCTTGAGCTGGGGTCAGGGGTTAGGGGAGCTTTGGCAGATGGGACTAGAGGCAACGGGAGGCGTGGAGGCAAGGCAGAAAAGCTAAGGAGGGAAGAGGCCATGTCATGGAGGCGTCACTGCTGACAGGCTGTCAACTGAAATACATCCACACCCACAGGATGTGGGTGTGGATGTTTATAAGCCATGCAGGAGAAAACCAGTCAGCATCATGAGGCTGTGGGACGGGCTGACAGTGTACAAAACAGAAAATTTTTTACAATACCTGAGGAGACATTTATCTGTTTCTCTACATCTGATTTCCCACAGTAACACATAAACCACATTAAAGAGGTTGTAATCTTATATGTGTTGAACTTTGTTAACACGTGATTAAATAAGCCCCAATTAAGGATAATGACTTTTACAATAGGTCTATAACAAAACACGCAGCTGGAGGAGAGACTAGATTTACCTGAATGAGGCAAAATTAGATTTGAACAATATTTAGATTAAGCTTACTTTTTTATAGTTTCATTAAAGGCACACCGCAGACTTTGTGACCTAAAGAGTTGACGCATGAGTTATTTTAAATGATTCTTCAGGCCAGAATACTTGTATATTGACACTATCAATGCTACAAGCGGGGCTCCCCTCTTGAAATACCACCTATATAAGTTGGGAGAAGATGCACTGTCACTGGCCAGGTCATGTGACCTGGAAAAATATATCGTTTCACGGCTACAGGCTCTTATATAGCTAAAGACCTTAAGCTTTTGCTCTACTGTTTTTCCACCTGCTTGACTACTGGTCATGGCTGAGGCAAGGAAAAAGTTTAAACCTTCTGAGGAGGCTATAAAGAGAAAACATGAAAGGCATCATGTGCGAGGAAAAACAAGAGTCGACCTTGGAAAGGAGTTTATTGGTTGGCGCAGGCTGAAAGAAGAAGCCTGATGTAAAACCAATTCTGTTTTCTAAACTTTATTATTAGACTGGTAAGTTAACACTTTGCTTCTAGTATACAGTCATATATGTTTGTTATTATTTTTATGTTTAGTCGAGGAAAATACTATTATTCTATAGTATAATCTGCTTCAACTGACTGTTTAATTTTTTTTCTTTCATAATGATAATTTTCCTTCCATCCATCCATTTCCAGTCACGATTATCCCAAATAATGTTAATAGAACCTAATAATATCACCATGATTATAGTTTTAGTGCCAGTGGAGCTATTTACTGCTTAACAATTTTATATGCAACCAATATTTCTGCCAGTTTTTGACACTCCCAGATATTTAGCCTATAATAAAAACAGAAAATGATCCTTTGGCATTGATTTAGTTTCTGTGATCATGATAAAAACTTGTTTAAATTATTTCTTAACAGTTTCTTTGATTCTACATCACCAAAGCTTTATTCTACCACCACTGTGTTTGAGGATGATATACCTGGTCGGTATGCACTGTTAAAAAGTCAAAGGTGTTAGGTTTAATTTAATTGATGATGTGTTCATCTTAAACCCAAATAATACCTGCCTGTTATGTGTTAAATCTAATGTTTTATCTAATTAGGACTGTTATTCTGTCCTGGTTATACAATTATCACGTTCTTTATCTACATAAAAGAGATTAGGAAATGAAATGAGGGCAGAGAAGGGGTGGCTCTTTCTTAACAGCAAGTTTATCCCAGATAAAAGCACAGAGAACCTGTATTCCTCGGTCATTATTGTTAAAAGGTTTAACCACATCTAACCTAGGATATAGGAATATATATATTCCTAGATCCTCAGAAGGTATAATGCATGGCTCCTCTGATTAATATACTTATTCCATTCTTACATGGTACTAATTCCAGTCTTACATGGTAGAATGAACAGTGAACTATCTGAAAGATCTCAAAGTTTAGAACAACCCTGCTTTAAATATCTCCACAGCTTTCTGTCAGACTCGCCAGCTGAGTTGCTTGGTCTTCATGATACTGGATGTTCTCTAATTGTATATATTTATTAAAGATGGCGGCGATTCCAAGGCAGTGGCCAAGAGCAGCTCCTCTTGACAAATTTACGAAATATGCCCCTTAAAGGAATAGTACACCCAAAACATGATTAGCCTTCATTTTCTACTCACCCCCATGCTGAACAACACTCTGGAGTACTTTTTTGATATCTCAAATGCATCTGGAGATCTGGGAGGCTTCTTGCTGTCTGCTGACATTCAAATAATGGAGGTCTATGGTGACCGAGACAGAAAGGTCCATAAAAGTCCACAAAAAACGTGTCAATATTCCTCCATACTGCTCGTCCAGTGTATTCCAAGTGTCCTGAGTGGGTAGCATCCAGAATTTACTCGAAACGAAGTTATTTAGAATGTTTTTAGAGCATAAACAGTAGTGTATAGGATTTCCTGAAAGCGCGCACATGCGCGTTCACGACGCTACGGAAGCTAATCATGTTTTGGGTGTACTATTCCTTTAAAACGATACAAACTACACATCAAACCCGCATCTATGATCGCCAATGCCTGCTGGAGCTAAGGTCACAAAATGTTTTAAATACTGACATTTTTGACCGTTTAAAAAGCTGAAGAATGCTACGGACGGATGTCAACAATCAACAGTGGAAAATAACAGGCGAAGGAAGAGATGCGAGAGACGGAGTAAGCGGGGCTGCAGAGGGGGGCTGCAGAGGGGGGCTAACTGCGAAGCTAAAGAAAGATCCCCACAGACCATCGCTTCCATCAATCCTGTTCTCCAACGTCAGCTCGTTGGAAAAAGAATGGATAATTTCCGACTCAAACTTTCTTCAAAAAGGAGATATGTAACTGCTACGTCATCATTCTGACGGGGTCTTTGCTGTGTCCGGCAGTACCGGACTGTGCTGTTGGCCTGAGGGGGTTGATGCTGTACCGTCAATAGAAACAAAGAACTCTGCGTTAATGGAGGCTCCTCTGAGAATGTTCCCAGGCAATCTTCAGCCTAATTTTCACCTGATGCTGAAACATCCCCAGCCGGCTCCTCCCGGCCCGCTCCAGCTTCCACACTTTCTCTGGCTTCGTCTGTCGCTGCTAAACCTGCCGATGAAACCACTGTTGCTTCATCCACCGCAGCCTTTTCAACCCAGGGGGCTACCACCCTCACAGCATCGTCATCATCGTCCTCTTCCTCCCGTGCTTCAGGAGCTGGAGGCAGTAGTAGCAGCTCAACAACAACTGCTGCTTACCTTATCAAGGCTGCACTTTTAAAAAAATGAAATTGCTTTTCTAAATGCAATTTTGTTTGGTTTAAACTTGTGTATACAAAATGATAAAATAAATTTGTCTAAGATATAGTGAAGAATGTTCTTTTTCCAGATTAATCATCAAAATAAGTGGTCAGTTGTTAATTATTCTGGTGATTTGTTCACGTAAGGCCGTCATACGTGCTCCTCCCCATTTTCACTTACCGGTGGTGAGTCTGACATAGTGGAAAAATCGCAAATCTTCTTTTGGAAAGTTAAGTTGTATGAGCGATGCAAACAAAAACTTTTAAGCAGAGCATGCACAAGGACATATGGGCTTGTGCACGCTCTGTGACATTAATAAGCATCCTCTGTGGGGCGCGGGTACATTGTTGTGCATGTGCATTTCTTTTTAAAAAGTGGATAGGGCGGGTCTTTTCAAAAATTCACGAAAATCCTTCATTATACAGTGAAAACCTATTGAGGTTTTCTCATTGTAAGGCTTCTTGGACAAAAGGATCATGTTTTTTAAATAATCCCGTGGCCTTTACAGAACAGCTGGATTTATACTGATCATGAATTAGTAAAAAAGTAATTTCCCTCTGGGATT